TTTAAAGGTCAGAAGCTATAGCTTACATGAATAAAAACTACAAACATGTCACTTGTAAATTAAATCACTATATATGTACAGATTTATTCATTAATGTGTGATATATTTTTCCAAACAGATTATACAAACTTAAATACAAGGAGCTCTAAAAGATTTTCAGGATTTTCAGAATCTCTTTTGCTTTAGACCATCTCCAAATGTTAAATCTTAAAATAAAATTTTAAGGTTAACCTCACATCTTTCTGGGGAAAAAATGCAGCGATTGATATATAGTTTATTTATAGTTATTTTCAAAGCTTCAATGTACTGTCAAAAAACCTTCATTATTGTTTATTTAATTCTAACAAATAAGTTCTTGTTAAAAACTAACCAAAATTAAAAATATTTTTCTTACAATTTCTGCACAGGAGACTTGGTGTTGTTTCCAACCAAAGGAAATATATCGGTCAAAATGAGTTGAAAAATATCAGCATATCGGATATCGGCAAAAATCCAAAATAGTGCATCCCTAAAATAAATTTAAAAAAAATCTTTATTCAGTAATAATGAATGATTGGAAAAGTAAAAAATTTAAAATAATTTATTAGGAGTATTTTTAGGTTAAGTATCATTCAATTTGAAATATAAACTCATTGGAACACAATCTGTCAAAGCTACTTTTTATGGAGAACCCATCATGTATTTCATCTTGTTGGGGGCTTTGCTTATTTGTTCTCTGTCCAAATTAACCACCCAGTTTCTATCCTCAACTTTAAGTGAGAATAGATCAGTTACATGATTTTCAGTTGACATTATAAACCCTGTGGCAGAAGTTACCCAGCAGGACCCAGAATGCTGCCCCTCCCAGCTATCCTAAACCCAGCTGTTCCCACAATCATGTCGTCCTGGGAATCTCCATGCAGTGCCTCTCGTACTAACTCTGTCCTTCTTTCTCCATGCTGGCTCCTTCCTCCCCCTCCTCCCCAGCTTCCCCAGCCTGAAGTGACAGACGAGGGTTTTGAGGCCGCTGAGGCGGAAGTAGATATAGACGATGAGGATGAATTCACAGACAACGAGGATGATTTTGAGCCAGAGCTGCTCTTAATGTCTTCCAATCAGACAGTTAACCAGCCCATTTTGGCCGCTGCGCAGTCTTTGCACCAGGAGGCTCGCAAGTGGTCCAGTAAAAAAAAAATCAGCATTGCATCAAATAAATTATTTATATTTTAAAGTATATTCAAATAGAAAACCATTATTTTTAAATTGCAATAATATTTCTCAATATTACAGCTTTTTCTGTATTTCTGATCAAATAAATGCAAAAAACGTACTGATCCCAAACTTTTCTATTTATCTATCTATATAAATTATCACTGATATTAAAACCACTACATTATAATCTGTATTAAAGCTGCAAGCAGCGATGAAAGGGCCCTCGCACCCGGGC